TACATATATATATATATACACACACACACACACACACACACACACACATATATATAATATATATATATAAAAATATATTTCTTGTTATTGGGAGGTGGTAAGTTGCCCAAGCTGGGCTAGAATTTGGCAATCCTCCTGCCTCAACCCCCAGAATAGATGGTTTACAGGTATATAACACCTATGCCTAACTTAATAGCTGTTAAATGAATGTTGAATACCAGAAAGGAAACATTCATTTCCTCTGTCTGCTTCCACTTGGGGGATAGCTCTAATACTGGTCCAGCCTTGAGTGACTAAGGCCAGGATGACCTTAGGGGCTAAGGTCACACTTAGGGTGAAGTGTCACACCAAAAATGAAATGAGCCTTGACCTAACCTAGAAAATCAACCAGCTGAGTCATTATAAATCTCCAGTCAAATCAGTCATCAGATTTTCAAATTCAACTGCATTCCAAAATTACTCTGCAGTTTCCAGACCAGCAAAAGCAGAATGAACCTTAGGGACTAAGTCAGTAAAAGTCCCAATGACTATCTTCCTCTCCTAGACTGACATCAAATGCCATCCTACATTTTTTCTACTGCCCCCACTGCATGGTAAACAGCTCTCAGGACCATCCTTGAATTATACCATTGCTTAGACCCCCATTTACAAATTTTGACTGGTAAGTGGAGGTTACAGGAGGGAAAGCCTCTCTCCATTTTCTAGCACTGACATCTTATACATACCATATGGTTTTAAATTTAAAGTGTCCCAGAAACAGACCTTGTATCAAAAGCACATTGAAAAAATATGCAGACAAGTCAAAATACTTGCATTAATGAAGCTTATGGATTTACATGATAGTAAGAGAAGTCTCCAAAGTCAGATGTGCACATCAAGCCTATTTCTTCTGACTCATTTCCTCTGGAGAAACTGCTTAGAATAATTCAGGCAAAAGGCCATGAAATAATTGCATTGGTAACAGGAACCTGGTAGAAAAGTAGAGAGGGAACTGCTAAATTAAACTCTACCTACAGAGCTTTCTTAGGAAATCACGTGATATATGTTTTTTTTTCCTTTCACTTAGGAAAAACAACTATTTTCTTAAAGTTTTACATTTAAAAAATCAGAGGCTAATTTGATGCTTTTACACACTGATTAACTACAGCAAACCCTAAGAATGTGCTTTCACTTAATAAAGCATTACATATTAAAAATACATTTGGAAAGATTTTAGTTTCAAACAGTTTTTGTTTTGGGAGTGTTTCCCCACCAAGCTGTCTGCTATATACAAACAGCACTGCTTGGCTGCAGCTGGCTAAGTCTTGTATTTCATGAAGTTCCTTGGATTCATTGTGGTAATTTCATGGAGTCAGTATCAAACTTTCCCCCTGGTATCCCTGAATGCATTCCTGCTGTAGTGCCTGAAAAAAGACTAGTTGTAAAAACAATCAGAATGAATATTTTCGTTGCCAGTTCCCCAAACTGGTCAAGCCAGTGGGGCATGTATTGGCCCCTGAGACATGGGAAAAATTAACCAAAGTGAAACTGGTGAGGAAGATATCAGAAACTAAGAGAGGAAGAGAAGAAGGGAAGGAGAGGGAGGCAGAGGGAGAGTGGGAGGGCCAAAGGCAGGAGAAAATAGTTGACAATAAGGATGACAAAAATCAACCAGAAGGAATATGGGAAGGTCTTACATAATATAGGGGGGACCCTCAAGTTATGACCAGCTTGACATACTTGGGTTAATTAGGTTAATGGAAGATTAATCTGCCTCTTGTTATCTATAGTGTGTATCCAGGTGAACATCCAGATCTCAGCTGTGTTGACTTACAACCAACTTGAGTTACAACCAGCCCTCAGGAACTGATCTAGTTCATAAGTCAAGGGTCCACTGTATTTACATAGAAGTATCTTGGGATAAAGAGAAAAATGGCTGCTTTAAATTAAAGGTTAAATGTTAAGAGGTAAAAGTCCTTGTAAGCTCTTATATGTAGTATTTCTTTGAAAAATATCCAGGGTGTCTGGAAAATGCCATTATTTTAAACCAATTATTAACCATTCCTTCAAACTATAATTCAAAGTAACCAAATAGTTGGAGCTAAAGCTACTCTTTGTTGATATATTTTGGCTAATAAAAAAGGAAAAATGTAATTAGAGTATCACCAGTTTGTAACACTAGTGATATAACCTATCTAGGCAGTGCCAAGAAGAAAGACACACATCCACAATCTTAGCTGGAGATGTTAACATACTTCTTTAGCTCTCTCTGACGAACCAATCAGATGAAAATATTAAGCTGGGCATGGTGGAAGCCAAGGCAAGAGCATCTAGACTTCAAGGCCTGAGCTACATAGTGCATTCAAGGCCAGTCTGGACCACATAGTGAGACCCTGCCTCAAAAAAAACAAAACAAACAAACAAAAAAACCTAAAATCAAAAACAACAACAAAATCAGTAATATAGAACCAACAGCCAATATCATACTAAATGGTGAAAAACTGAAATCCTTCACACTACAATCGGGAACAAGACAAGGATGTTCACTATCACCACTCTTGTTCAATATAATTTTGGAAACATTAGCCACAGCAATTAGACAAGAGAAAGAAATAAAAGGAATAAACATAGGAAATAAAGAAGTGAAATTGTCATTTTTTGCAGATGACATGATACTCTATACAGAAGACCCCAAGAACGGCACCAAAAGTCTTCTAGACTTAACCAAATTCAGTAGCTGGATACAAGGTCAACACACAAAAATCAATAGCTTTCCTCTACATGAACAAAAGACTCACTGAGAGAGAAATAGGGCGATTCCTTTCACAATAGCATCCAAAAAACTGAAATACTTAGGAATCAACCTAACAAAAGAAATCAAAGCCGTCTTCTCTGAAAACTATAGCCCTCTGAAAAGAGAGATTGAAGATGACATCAGAAAATGGAAAGACATCCCTTGCTTCTGGTTAGGAAGACTCAATATAGTGAAAATGGCCATGCTTCCAAAACTGCTGTATAGATTCAATGCAATCTCAATTGAAATCCCAGCAGCATACTTCACATACCTTGAGAAAACAATCCAAAAATTCATTTGGAACAAGAAAAGACCCAGAATAGCATAAGCAATTCTAGGTATAGAGACACGGCAGGGGGTATTACAACCCCCAACTTGAAACTATACTACAAAGCTACTGTGATAAAAAAACAAACAAACAAACAAAAAACCCAGCATGGTACTGGCAAAGAAACAGACCTGAGGACCAGCGGAACAGATTAGAAGATGCAGAAACA